CACTAAATATATCTCGATTTATACAGATAATCTTCGTATAATCAAAAAGCCCAGTCAGATCGCGTTTCTTAAGTAACCGGGTCTGGATCTTCCTCAGTTCAATTCCATCGTTATCGAAATTGTTAGCTGTGAAGCAGCAATAGACGTGGGGGTGTTTCTGTCGATTTTTGTCTAAGAAAAGCGACCGGAAAAAGAAATTGAGGCAATGGTGCTTGGCGTGTTGAAAGGGGAGCCGCTGATCACGAAGCTGGCGGCGTTGGCGAAGTACGGCGTGCTTCCGGGGGCGATGATCGCCGCCCTCATCTACTCGCCGCCGGATTACAGTTTGCCCAAAAAATCAGCTGATTCAGGATCCTCGACTTCTTCTTAATAGACGAAAAAGGTTGATTTTCATTGTTTTCATTCTCGATTGTGTTTTTCATATTTTTCAACCATGGCGATTGGTTAGGGTTTTGTCTTTCGTTGCTTTTAAAATATTCTGCCTGTTTTCACGATTTTGGTAAATCGAATTGATTTTAATCTTCATTAATTGCTTCAAATTTATGTATAAATTATAATAGAATTATGAACGAAGAGGATAAAAGCTTGGGGAGTGCCTGGGCTTTTCATTGGATTTAATGATTATAGAATTGGGGAGGATATAAAAGTTAGATTTTATGTCTGAATTTGGAAATATAGTCGACATTTGCAAAATCTGTGCTAATGATTATTCGAAAGGGTTGATGGATGAAGATTTCTATTTGCAAATGATTGATTGACACACTGCTCAGCTGAAATTTAGAAATGACTGTGTTTCTGTATATGAAGATTACGAGTAACTTGTGATTTTTTTGTTCGTGATGATACAGATCTTTCTTTCTGGCTGGGTAAAACGTGCATCTTCAGGTTGAGCTCGTGTTTTGTGGATGAAAATGGTATGTAATAATTACAATGCCGCATTGCGCCTGTGAAACAGTTGTGTAACATTGAAGCATCTTACCAGTTTCTTGAAGAAATTGCGGTTTTTTTTTATTATTTGTTCCGCACTTCGGTATATTTTGATAAATGCGCATGATTTCTTATTGAGCTATGATTCCCCCCTGATATTCCTGTATTTCCGTTGCTCTAGTTTTCGTTCATTTTATCACCTGGTAATCATCAACATTGCCTTCACTGCATTAACTTCGATATTTTGAGTTTGCTACGATTCTCCTAGCGTTGATCTATCGGTTTTTGGCTATATACTTATCCTAGTTATTTCAAAATGGCACTATGTTCTCACATACTCGTAGGTGGTGCCTTTGATGCAATTGTGAAGCTATAGGAACAGAGTGGCCTTCTCATTGACTATCATACTTTTTTTGTATCGTCTTTATTTTCAAGATTCCTTTGGTATATTTTCAAGATTCTTTTGGTAGTTATCATTCTCTCGTAAAAGGTAGGGTCTGGGCACTAACTGGGGGAAACTCTCGAGACTTTCTGAGTGCATCTTATCTCAAAAGTCCGAAATTTAAGCAGAGTTTTCTCCCCAAATTATTTTGATATTGGTTCCTTGTCAATTGAGAAGTGGAGATTCCCTTTCAGATGTCACCATTGTTTCCAGCTTTGATATAACTCTATCTGGCTAACATTTTCGACTTTTTTTTTCATATCTAATTTTCATCTTATTGTGGATATATAAATGAATGAAAGCATTAGCAGTCGAACATTCCCTGGGTATTCGGATTATTCAATTGAAGCTTAAGTGTGACTCTGGTAGTAGTTTTTTTTATTCTTTCTTTTTTTAAAGGAAAATTCGCCCTACAACACACGGTTCGAACCTCTTGCCAAACACTATTATAGCAGAGGTTCCGATACTTCTAAGCTAAACACTGGTGCTAGTTTTTTTCCCGTATGACGACTGTTCCAGTTTCTTAAAGCCATTTTTGTATCTACCGATCTTTTGAAACCAAGGTCTAATCTATCACGAGAT